ATGAAAATAAGCAAGCATGAAACTTTCCTGAGCCCCATGAGAGCAAACCACAGGGCACAGACAAACGAAACACTGCCAGTCTTGAAACCCCTGTGAGCAAATACGAACAGTGTCCAGCACAGGATGAGAACACCTTGGGTCCAGCACAACAGAGATGTGATGGTGTGCTCTCCTAGGCAGGGCACTGAATTACAGGTCTCCACGGCCATCTTCCTGGACAGTCCTGATGTTGGGGCTGTTCAGCCTGGAGAAGAGAAGCTACATGGAGACCTCAGAGCAGCTTCCAGTGTCTGAAGGGGTGTACAAGAATGCTGGGGAGGGACTCTTCATCAGGGACTGTAGTGGTAGGACAAGAGGTGATGGGTTTAAACTTAAACAGGGAAAGTTCAGGTTAGATATAAGGAAGAAGTTCTTTACTGTGAGAGCAGTAAGGCACTGGAACAGGTTGTCCAGAGAATTCGTAAATGCTCCATCCCTGGCAGTGTTTAAGGCCAGGTTGGACAGAGCTTTGGGTGACATGGTTTAGTGTGAGGTGTCCCTGCCCATGGCAAGGGGGTTGAACTATGTGATCTTCATGTCCTTTCCAACCCAAACCAGTCTGTGATTCTACGATGAAGCAGGACACTGCTCCAAGGCCACGCGGGGTCCAGCCAGTACACACAACCCCTTCACAAAGGACATGCTGCAAAAACACCAGCAGATCAAGCTCCCAGTACACACCACCATAGTCTGTCCATGCTTTCCCTAACCCCTGCGCGGGACCCACCAGCCTGCTGGCTGGGAAAGACTCAAAACATCTGATAATCAAGCTGTGGAAGTTGCTTATCACTTAAAACCATTTTTCCTCTTCACTTTGATATCTTGAACCTTTTCCTGCATGAGAACAGTTGTTGAGATTCCAGCAGCAGTAATATGTCATCTTCACCCAATGATTCAATAGTCCTAACAATTGTGGGTATTATTTTTTCTTAAATCTGCTCCTTAATCCTATAATGCCATAAAATACCATTGAATCAGAGCTTATAGCAGGATTCCAGAGGAACAGACTTTTAAAGAGATAATGAGAACTCCATGTTTATATTAGATAGGATTGAAAAAAGAGAATAGAGAAGATAGAACGTAACAGATGGGCAGATTATTTCATAGCTTTCCTTAATATGATTTCTTCAGCCTGAAGCATCTGGTTCCACTATCAGAGATTATTAGATACTTGGGTAAGTTGGACCTGCAGGCTGATCTAACACAGCAATTCTGATTTTCACTCTACACATAGGAGAGATTCCCATTAAATCACACATCACAGAACAAATCAGAAGTGCCAAAAATCTAGTATCAAAGAGGGGAAAGTTAGCAGCCCCTAGGATCCCATGTAAATACACTTTGCTTTCTAAAAGGAAAACAACATGTCTTAAACTCCCCATCCTTCATAGGCAAGCTGAAAATACTGTGAATTAATCAATGAAACTCACAGATCAGCTTCCTCCTTCACAGTTTCTGCAGAAAATGAAAGAAAACTCTCTCCAGTTCATTTTTGGAGATGTGTGTACAAGCCGTGCAGTCTGTGGGCAGCACCTTGGGCACTTCCAATCTAGAAACAGGAATTGTTTTCCAACACACACAGGAATCTCATTCTTAAGTTGAAAAAACCTCATCAAGCAAGACAGAAATGTGTTGCCTACCTCATTATGCCACTGTTTCACAGAAAGACTTGAAATGAGGTCCTCTGCACCAAAATACTAGGCCTGCCTTATGTTAGCCAAAGGAGTAGCTTTCTTGGTTACCCAAATGTAATACTGTTACCTGATTCACTCTAAAAGCACATTGTGATGCACACCCAGCACAACCTTCCCTACTCCACAGAAGGCCAGGATCAGAAACTTCTACATTGATAAGCTCAAGACTAAGGTCTTAGGAGGCACAGCTCCATGGAATCAGAACCACACATGCTATTTCATGTATCTGTACCATAAGCAGCACTTTTTGGGGAATCAGTCCGGTGTGAAGGCCAGTACCGCTCAAGGGGCGAACAGCAGAGCAGGCTTTCTATCTTCCAGCCTAAGTGAGCAGCCTCAGCTTTTAAGAAAAGAAAATGTCTCAAATCAACTGCATTTTATAAGCAAAACAAAGATGATAATACAAACTCCTAAAAAGAATCATAGAATCCCAGACTAGTTTGGGTTGGAAGGGACCTTAAAGCTCATCCATTTCCAACCCCCTGCCACGGGCAGGGACACCTTCCACTAGAGCAGGTTGCTCCAAGCCCCTGTGTCCAACCTGGCAAAAGAGACGCTACAATTCCCCAAATCCAGACAAGCAAGGTACTCTGCCCCAGCCCTGGCTCTGGGATAGACCTTACCTTCTCCTAAGCACCGCCCCTCCACCTAGCACCTCTTGATCCATTATCTCCAGGGAAGCCCACCTCTATCCTTCCTGCTGCCTCTAGGCAGGCACTCAAGAGGCCATCAGGTAGGACTCATGATGCATCCTTATTGCCAACATCTGCCTGCAAACAGCAATGACCAGGGACACGTGAATCTCTGAGACCTTGGTGATGCTGACCACAAGTCAGGGGAGTCTGAATACAAAAGATTATAAACATGCCAAATTTCCCTCAAACTCCCCTTAGTCCCCTTCACTTTGGCCACAAAGATGACTTCTCTGGAGAAAAAAAGGCTCAGGAGACACCTTATACCAGTCTTCTAATACCTAAAGGGGGCTTACAAGAAATCTGAAAAGGGGCTTTTTACAAAGGCACACAGTAACAAAACAAGGAGGAATGGCTGAACAGCCTCTGGGTGAACCAAATGGGCTCTCCACTACATTTAAAAGTAATATATGCTTTGTAATGCTTATCAGCTGGAGGGTTTTCAACAGTTTTCCCCCACTAATGCTACAATTTTGAAACCATTTAGGCTAATTTCCTTTGACTTGAATCTATTTTAATCAGAGACCAGGATACTTGACTTAAATGGTTTGTATTAAACCCCTCATAAAACCAGCCATAAAATGGCATTGCACAAAATAACGAATGGATCTTCAAGTCACAAGTAGAAAAAGCTGAAACTTTCCCAATCTTCCAGCAAACTCCAGCTATTTCATAACCAGACCAAGTGCTCTCTTACAATACCAAGACAATTGATCCCTAAAATAAAAAGCAGTATCTGCAATACGCTCCTGAAGTTCTTACATAGATATAAGGCATTAAGTTATGCAGTTGCAGTCAGTACCCACAAATTCCTTCCACATTATCAGCCCAGCTCCAAAATGATGCTTTTTTAATCAATTGCTGTGTCTGCTCTGGCCTCTCCACCACCTGCCCATGAAATGACGGATGGTGGCACTGAGCAAGAACACAAGGCAAGCCTAAAAATGTCAGAATTAATCCTTTTCTCCCCCCTCCCAGATTGGAAAAAACCATTACTTTTCAAATTAATTCTCACAAAGCAATGCTGGCTCTGCTCAAAGTCAGAGTTCTGGATGAGAAATGAAAATAAGAAGCTCAGGCTCAGGTAACAGCCAGAGAAAGTCTCACTTCAAGGATTTGTCATTGTAGTGGGATTTGCATATCATATAGCCAAAGGTGCAATTTGTACCTGCAATTCATTCTGTCCAGACAAACCATCCCAGCAAAATTGGAGCCCGGGCCTCCATTCCTTTGAAAACGCATCCAAATATTTCTCTTGTCAGTGGTTGACAGCCTTAGAAACTCTGAGTGGCTGCTTGAAATTCATGCAGCATGCAGAGGAGTGAAGGAACAAAAGCTCCCCATGCTCTCACATCCGTAACAATTTGCGAGCATGCTGGAGACATGGAGCTGCATCCCCTTGCTGCATGACTTGCAATGGTTTGCAGAAGTCAAGCAATGGCTTTGTCACTGTCCCAAAGACACAGGCATTGGACACATAATATCTTTCAGAATCTACATCTTAGCTCATTTCTTTATCAGGAATTTCACACTAGACAAATTGACACCTTCCTATTCTGAGGAACACTCTGCCAGCCATATCTAAAATTAACTTCCATAAAGATAAACTTACAGCATGTCTATCTCACACTTAACAAAATGATTTGGCATTTCATTTTAAGTCTGTTCTTCCATGGTGCTTAGCAGGTAAACATCACCATCATCTTAAAAGCTCATTCTGGAACAATAGCAAAGGAAGGATATTGCCACCTGAGTCATGAGAGTCCCTTCAAAGGCATCTGCACAGATCTCCAACAGGAGATCCCACACTAGCATCGCAGGAGAAGCACGAGGGCTGCTGGAGAGCCCTGGAGGTCTTGCAGGGACATGAAGGAGCTAACAAGAGAGGGGAGGGAGTCTTCACACACATTTACAGGGCAACAAACCCCAAAGGTCAACAGCTCAATGAACAGCCCTTTGCTGACGAAAGCAGATGTGAGCTTCTGATCACATTAATGCCACCCAAAATAACATATTGCTTTAGGGAAGTAAAAAAAGAAAGAGAGAAAAGAGTGGGAAGAATTTCACTTTCTTTCCCCTGATAAATTGTCTTTATGAACTCGCCTACATAAAATCTGGAGAAGGAGTTTTGACAAGGGCCTGTAGGGACAGGACAAGGGGGAATGGCTTTAACCTGCCAGAGGGGAGATTGAGATGAGCTCTGAGGCAGAAGCTCTTCCCTGTGAGGGTGCTGAGGCGCTGGCACAGGGTGCCCAGAGAAGCTGTGGCTGCCCCATCCCTGGCAGTGTTCAAGGCCAGGTTGGACACAGGGGCTTGGAGCAACCTGCTCTAGTGGAAGGTGTCCCTGCCCATGGCAGGGGGTTGGAGCTGGAGGAGCTTTAAGGTCCGTTCCAACTGAAACCAGTCTGGGATTCTGTGAACTTTCTCATTTTCAGCCAAACTACAGTGGTTACTGAGCATGGCCCTGCAAATGATAAGGAAGGAAGAGCAAACAGTATCACATGAGAATATGAAAGCAACCATCACTCCTGGCTCTGGGATGGTACCTAAATGTGCATTCCTTCATGGTACTTACTTGGTTGGACGATAATCTGGTATGGAACGATCCAGTGAAATTTTCTCACTGAGGTAGGAGTTGTAGCCGTATTTCTCATGTGGCCCCTTTGCTTTCTCCTCCTCCTCAGGAGACAGGGTGGCTGGGAGCCCACCTTTACCACGTCCACCATAGCCTTCAATGAGACCAAGTGACTTGGACAGACCTCGAGAGAAGAAAAAAGCCATCATCACTGTTAAAATTCATCACTGTTATTTCCAAACTATCAAAGAAACAAAACCAATCTGAAAATCTGGGGTGGTTTGGGTTGGTTTTCTGAAAACATTTCAAATTCTGGTTCTTTGCCTCAACACTGGAATGAAAATGACTCAAATCTTGAAATTCCTCACGGCTCTGGCAGGCTGTTCCCAACAGCTCTGCCACTACAGCATCCAACTGATAACCCGTCCCAGGGATCTGGGCATTTATCTAGCTGTTACGAGGGCTATTCAGGCCTCCTGCCCACTCTGAGAGAGGTAATTACATGTAAGGTTAGATGTCCCCAGGAGAAGGATAGCTTGAACACAGCCTGAAAATAAACCAGGGCTGGTTAACTGCCAGCTGAATGAATTTTTGCTCAGTATGAACAGTGTACAGCATACAAATGTTATGGATTTAAAAACAATTTCCCCTCAAAGCTTTCTTATCTTTTGAAGTACAGCATTCCCATTCCTTTATCAAGTGGAATTATTTATTTATATCTGCATAGCTGAAAGAAATAGGCAAAGTTCAAAATGAGCTGCACAGAAAGAGCTACACTGATGATTTGGTGGAGATTGTGGGAAACTAAGTTCATGCTCATGTTATTACTTAGTAGACGGGACTCCTTGAATTCTAATATTGTTCATTAGCAGAGACTCATATTCTGCCTTTTGTCATAAATAAACAAAGTATTGATGTTTTGTTTTGTTACTTGGTTTTGGTCTGCAATAAAGAAACCAGGGTATATTCTCCTTTGTTTGAACAGCAGAGACCTAACTCTGAGAGCAGAACTGACTCTTGTCACCACTGACACTTTGCAAGGGACAGTAACCTTGGGGTCCTGGGGAAAATGAAGCCTCTCTGTCAACTGCAAAGACAGCTGAGAAATGCTAAGACATGACTTTATACCCAGCAGCTATGACTGATGAGCCTATAATGCCATTAACTGCTTTATTCCAAGACCATAATCATGACAACCAGGCACACACATCCCTCAGCATGCATTTGTCTCTCCTAACTCTTCACTAAGTACGTTCCTTTATTTCTGCATTCTTACTTCCTTTACTACTATAAACCCTGTCTTGGTAAGTAGAGGTAAATCAGTGTCATTTAACCAAAGGAATCTATTAAGGTGATGGATTCACATATGGTGGGAAGAGCTCTATCATGAGACCATCATCCTCTCTCTTGGTGCCACCCGGGACAGCAAACACAGCCGCAGGGACAGTCACAAAGATGAACATTCCAGGTGCAATGTGCCAGGGAGGATCTCCCTGTCTGTCCCTGTGCTGGTTAAACATTTCATCCTCCTGCTCATGCAGTCAGAAGGATTCATCCATGCAGCCAGGATGTCACTTTGGTGCACAGCTCTTCACAGCAAGAGCTAAGTAATGGCTGGCATGAAAGATCATTCATGTCCAAACAGAGGAGGATGAAATTTGCTTCCAGCTGGCTGAAAAGATGCCTCAGGAGAGGCAGGACTGAAACCAAATGGTTACAGCAGACTCTCATCCAGTCAATCCATTCATTTACCTTTACTTGCCCCATTTTAGGGCTGCACAGAGAAAGGCACATTTCTGTGAGCTTGAGATGCCTTCACTGTAACTTCAGAAATTATCCTCAGCCCAGCCCATATGGTTCCTTGGCATTTGGGTCTCAAAGGACAAGCCATCTCTCACATCGTGTTCTAACAGCATAACACTGCAAGTGAATCATAGAATCCCAGACTGGTTTGTGCTGGAAGGGACCTTAAAGCTCCTCCAGCTCCACCTCCCTGCCACAGGCAAGAACATCTTCCACTAGAGCAGGTTGCTCCAAGCCCCTGTGTCCAACCTGGCCTTGAACACTGCCAGGGATGGGGCAGCCACAGCTTCTCTGGGCACCCTGTGCCAGCGCCTCAGCACCCTCACAGGGAAGAGCTTCTGCCTCAGAGCTCATCTCAATCTCCCCTCTGGCAGGTTAAAGCCATTCCCCCTTGTCCTGTCCCTGCAGAACCTTGTCCAAAGCCCCTCTCCAGGTTTCTTGTAGGCAACGATTAAGCGCCTCTCATGATGCAGGAGCAGAAAGGAACGTCGCCTCTGAAGCCAGTTGTTCCACACACACAACTATCCAGAGCTGGTTTCCACCACAGTCTTCTGCTGTGGCCTCTTAGTAGCACATACTTATAGCATCTTCATACTTTGAAAGCCTCCAGCCCTTTACCAAACCTGCTTGAAACTGGCCCAGAAAAGCCAGAAGTTACAGACACAGCAAGCAAGAAGGAGCAAGAGCATGATCCTGTCAGCTTCTTTCTTCGAAGAACAAGGTTAAAAGTAAAGTGTCAGAACTGTCCCCAAGTCCCAGACCAAATCCTTTGTCATTCTGGGCAAGCCCCAAAAGCAGAAGCGCTGATCTGCCAAAAACGTCCCCCGTAAGCCCGCCCCCAGCCTATCCATAGCGATAAATAGCTCAAAAAACTCCCCCTCAAAAAGCTTGATCTTTGGAGTCAATTCACTCCTCAGTGCACTTCGCAAGCTCATGAGATGGTAACAGGTTGCATCAAGATCAGCTGTTCAGTGCAGATCTGTGAGCTTCACTCATGCTTAAGCCACATTCACTCAGCAAGTGCTTTAGAAATGAAAACATGCTTTTATTTTCAGATCTCCTAAAACATCTGAACTTTGGGACAAAAGGAGTGTATTGCTCTTATGTTGCAGGAATAGAAGGCATAAAAGACACCA